CTCAAATGTTAAGGACTCCAAGTAATAGTAACTTTTACAAAAATTGAGAAAACATGTTTAAAATTCTTTAATGGAACTGGAAGAGATGCAATAGGACTAACTAAAATCACCCAAAATTTAATAATTTGTTTAAAGAAAAAGAAAGATGAGGCATATTGGACCCAGAGAAAAGATAGGTAAAATGATGCTTGCAAAAATCTGTGAAATCATGAAGTTTTAATAAGATGAACATGATTTTTTCAAAATATTTCAGAATACTAAATTGTATGCACTTCCCTTAAAGCTTGAGAAATTTAAGGGTTTTGACAATACTTTTCCTTGTTCACAAAAACATATTTTGACCTTCTTCTCCTTTGCAGTGCCGCATATCCCAAGTACCATTCACAGAAACAAGCTGGTCTTCTGCTCCACACTCAATTACCCTATGCAAGATAAAACTCAAGAAAACTTTCCAAAAGTTCAAACACAATAGAAAAGTCCCACAAATTTAAAATAATAATTTAAAAAGTAATGGAAAGCTAGGCTTCCAGTGCCTTCAAATTTCTCCTACTTTTATTCAGGGTTCTCGTCCCTTCTGAAGTTTCTGCTCTGAAGGAAATCTTCAGGCTGCATAGATGAGGAGTTTCTGTCAGAGCATTAACTATGCTGTGATTCTAATGCAGCATCAAATAAAGAGGATGACTCATGGAATTCTCAGTAGAATAAGATTGTACTGGGGGCTGAGATTAAACTCATTCCTTGAGCAGGCTAGAAAGCTAACTACAGCTCCGCAGACACTTTCCTTAACATGGGGGATCGGATGATTGATACAGGTAGTATAGTTTTGAAATATACTAAAAACATTTTCCATGATTGAGACCTGAAATACTTCTAACCTTCATATATAGAAATCTTTGCACAGTTAACAAAAGTGTAAGTTCTTATGAGGTTAAATGTATTTGGGGTTTGTTTTTCCCTTTGTTTATCTTAGTTTACTGGCATCTGTGAAAGGAAATTTGACTGCAAAGATCCAGGTAATTCCACAGCATGGGGAAAAAACCTGCAATGAAGACCTCTTAAGACAATTTCTATTCTTTGTAAAGCATCCCAAGAATGGAAAGGCAAGTATCAAGGTACTCAATACTAATATGAAGCCAATAGATGATCTAATACACACCCACATAAGAGAAAAACTCAATTCAATTTAAGCTGGGGAGACAGCGATTAAAGAAAGGGGGATGGGGAGTGGGGGGGACTGGTGTGCTCCCACTTCGTGGGCACAGTGTAAGGGTATATGGCACACCTCTTGGGTGTGGCACGCACCTACAAGAGGGCCCCAACCTGACAAGTGGAAACATGGTAACCTAGTTGTTGGTACCCTCATGTTAATCGAAATTTCAAAAAGGATGATTTCTCAAGTGAATATGCTGAGTTTTTTAAATTAAAGTTCAAAAACATAAATGAATAAAATGAAAGAGAAAAACCAATGCGGCTATATTTGTAGGTTATGACTGCTAGCTAAATGTGTGTGGCGAGGATCGCATATACTTTTATTTGTCAAAACTTTTTTTTAGTTGCTGCACCACTCTGTATTTCCTGTTTTTTTCATTTAAAAGCTACCTATGAAACATGACCTTGGAAATCCTACAGGTTTACTTCATGAATTTTTATGTCATTTTACAAGAAAAATTTACTTAATTTGGATATTTAAAATACTAAATTATATTGTACTATAGATATAAGCTCTAATTATATCTAATTATAGATGTAAGCTCTAATTACAAATATTTGCTTTTGTTGTTTTTTTTTTTTTTTTTTTTTTTTTTTTTTGAGACAGAGTCTCACTCTGTTGCCCTGGGCAGAATGCTGTGGCATCACAGCTCATAGCAACCTCAAACTCTTAGGCTCAAGTGATCATCTTGTTTCGGCCTCCCAAGTAGCTGGGACTACAAGCACCTGCCACAACACCTGACTAGTTTTTCTATTTTTACAAGGGATGGGGTCTCGCTCTTGCTCAGGCTGGTCTTGAAGTCCCAAGTTCAGGCAGTCCACCTGCCTCAGCCTCCCACAGTGCTGGGATTACAGATGTGAGCCACTGCCCCTGCCAATACTTGCTTCCTGTAATCAAGCATACTATTTTAAGAATATTCTTCATAAGATAAAAGAGAAATTTTTAACTAGCAAGACACATTCTCAGTATTTTCCTTCTTTCTTTCCAAGTATTCCAGAGTGACTATGTCACTTTTCAAACACGGCAAATTTAATGTTTGTAATAAAGAGACTTGGGTTTCCATAGTTGGCAAGAAAGAGCTGAGGTAATAGCGTCTTAGAACATACTCTTGCAAGGGACAGAGTCTTACTCAAATAAGAGAAAGAAAATGCAGTGTATTAAATAGACACTGATTTAATGAACTCCAAGGCAAAGTTAAATTTCTAGATATTGGGGAGGAACCAGGCAGCTACAGACATTTGAGCAGCAAATGTCTCTGGACTCTGACTCCCATAGTTGTCATAGTCTGGTTGGTTGAGTACAGTCTATATGTGATGGCTCCTTCAGGTGCCGTACTATTAATAAAATTAAAATAATCAGCAATGTTGAACAATAGCAGGATTTGGGAGAAGCGCATATTTCCTTAGAAGGTGTATAGAAGGGAAAAAATAATTGGCGTATATAGTGTAATCACTAAAATAATTAAAACTTGGAACATGCAAAGATAAAAGTTATCTCTTCCTTCAAATAGCCCTCTGAAATTTCCGTGCCAATGTTCGATTTAATCTCTATAGAAGATCAAAGCCTGACACTGACATACTTTTTTTTTAAAAAAGGAACTTCATGAATATAATTCAGAAGTCTCTACATAATATAATTTAGCTCCAAATTAGGCTGAACATCTTTATGATCAGAAATGACTTCTTATCACTAACGCATGTGAGAATAAATGGTAGTAATAATTACTCCTTTAGACTCACTGTATAAATCCTTACACGTACTTCCTTAGCACTAGCACTTAGTAATCTTCAAGCTATGCCAAATATTCCAAACTATTAATATGTAAACAAAATAGCAAATCCATGCCAACAAGACCCATTGAAAACTGTTTCATTGACATTATTAAACGTTAGTGAAAAATCTCCCTGACACCAATTCTGGAACTATGAGATAAAATACATGTTCCAAATCTAGATATTGGCTAGATACCTAAAACTGTAATAATAAATGCAATGAGAAAGAACTAATCAGCAGACATGACGAAGTCCAGCACCCCGCCTTCCAACATAGTAGCCACAAACGGAGCCTCTATTTTTGTTTCCTTTCAAGCATCATTATATGGTGTGATGTGGCTTCCTTTCTTTCATGAATAAACCTTTCCCAATAGTAATTTAAGGATTCAATTAAAATCATCCGTATTTTTCCTCTATCTTTACCACTTTAAGTCTGTCTTCCCGCAAAGCTTTAATTATTTACAAAGATGTTGCTTCCTGGCTCAAGTTATTTAATAGCTTTCTCTGGCCCACAGAATAAAGCCGAAACACTTTTGCAGGCACAGAAATCAAATTCCCTCTGGTCTGGTCCCTTCTTTCCTTTCTCGATTCATCTCCTTCCACTCTTAGCCTTACAGTTGACACTTCAGTAATAAGAAAATACTGGCCTTGCCTATTCACTTTCTGCTTCCAGGCTTTTTCTCACATTCCTCCCTCTGATGGAATCTTCCGCTTGCCCCTTTCTTTACCTAAGGAACATCTGCTCTCCCACACGACTCAGCTCATATGAACATTCCCTGAGCCTCCCCAGTGATCCCAAAGTATCCTGTGCATACCTCAATCACAGTGTTTACAACATTAACATTGAACTTACCACTTAGTAGCTATATTTCTCCACTTAACTATCAGTGGCTCTATTTCACCAGGTAACTATAAGCAGGTTCCAAGTTCACCACCAACACATGTTGAATAGAATTGAACTTCAGATACAGTTACCCATTTATACAGTTTCTGACAAGAAAATCTTAAGCCATTTATTTCATAAAGAATTTGAAACCTCACTAAAGTCAAGAAACTTACAAATTAGTTGTAAAAATGTTCAGTGCATGAGCAGAGTGAATTTAATCTTTTAATTTATGTTAATAGTTAGCCTTTAGAGAATGTCTGTTTATAGATGTAGCCCAAGAGCGTTTTCTTGGCATGCTGGCTCACTGCCTGGAACCATCTCCCCACTTTGCCTAAAGCAAGATAGTGATTCTTTAAGCAGTAATAGCACTGCTGGGTCTCAAAGCATCTCTGAAATGGTGGTTCTTCACATCAGAGTTTTATAATTGTGACTGTCACAAATAATATGATTTGATTCAATTACTCAAAATAAGCAGCTCATTTCTGTTCTATGTTCTAAAATGCTTATTATCTTATATTTTAAATATATATATATTTAAATAGAAATATATATAGAAATATAAATAGAAACTTCATAAATGTTATACTGACTGCAAAAGAGATATCTGTCTGTACAGGTAAAATAAATAAAATGGATAGATCATTGTATACACTGACTATCCATTCAGAAATGATTCTGTCCCACATTCCCTGCATCTCTCGGGTAACAATGATTTGAATTCGGCACAACCGAGTAGTCCAGATAACTGCTACCACGCTTCCACCTCACTGTGTCAATCTAAGAAAGGTCTAAGCACAATTTTTAAACACATCAAATTAAGATGAAGCTTTAGTAACAGGCAAAATTCTACTTTTTTATTAATGACAAAATTATTTCTATAATTTTGTTTTACATTCTGCAAAAAGAACACAATCTAAAACCACTTTACAGGAGCTCCCGACAAAAGATGATTTTTTTCAGATTCAAATTCAGTCTCTCAAACCATTTAAATTATTAAAGAGGGGTATCTCATGATGAAACACAGGCACACATTACAAAATGAACCATCTACATCTTTCCTCTCTCTCGCCTTCACACTCGCTCACACTCCCCCTTGCTCATTTACAGAATCCAGTGATAAAAAATGCCTTACTTGGTGTTATGTGTATCAATGGTGTGGAAGAGCTCATGTAATTCTTCTCCACTGAGAACACCATCTGCAAAGTATGCTTTGAATTCTTCAAAGGATAATTTTCCGTCATCTGAAATGGGATGAACAAACAGAAGAGGAGCAAATTATTTCAACTTTGTCCATTGTTCTCTATTTTGACTATTAAAACTTTGCCCTAATGCTTGTGCACGTGTATTTGTGTATGTACACACATATTCAAAAAGAAAGAACAGCTAAAGGTACTAAAAAGAAAAATAATGTCCTATATCTTTGTAGTACACAAAATGCAGATGTATATACTCTAATAAAATATAAGTCTACACACTTTTGGATATTTTGGTGTTCATTTCTTCACATCCGATCAACATTGAACATTTAATGAGACACATAACTAGCTATATAAAAAAGATCCACACAACCACATACAGAGCTCAATGCAAGCTCCATTATTTTAGATGTTTTGCTTCCATGGTACCAAGAACATACAGGACCTAGCAGATTGAAGAACAAACACTATATATTTAGTAAGTGTATATTGATTAAATAGATATTTGTATGAGGATATCAGAGTTGCTGTTATAGCCCAAAAAAACATGTTCATTCCTATTCCCTTTAACCAATGAGAGTATTTTTAAAGCCCAACACAGTTTACCTACGGTGGGCCACAAAAGTGATTCCCAATCAGGGAGTCTAATAAAAATGATAGGATGTACAGACCTAAGTATCTTACTCAGTAGAACATAGTAAATATAATGAGACACACATTTTAAATGTCTGGGGATTTGGTTAATAAAAGGTACTTTTCATTTGGGGGGAGTAAGAGATATTTTTCGGTAGTATTTGCACGTGACTTTGAATACCAAGTAAAATCTGGATAAACATAGATGGAAGAAACATATTAATTAGAGTCAAAAGGCCTGTAGAAAATGCAGGAGCAGCCAACGGATGTGAAGGGAGAAGGAAGCTTCCCTCTAACTGTGCAAGAAGCTGGTTTGTGGGTTATCTCAGACACACTGCCAGATGACTTACAAGTGATGGAGCCATCTTTCCATGAACAGTGAGGACACTAGGGTCTAAGGGGGATGGAATTTCCCCAGGGCCACAAGACTCCTATACTGCAGTCATACCAATAATACTCTACTGAACAAAGCAGAATTTGTCTTTGAGTAAAAGAAGTGATGGTTTAATGAGACTGGGTCTTTGAGATTCATCTAGGCATTTCTTTCTTGAAATCTGTTGAAATGCAGATTACTGGGCTCTACCATCTCACAGAGGTCCAGGGAGATGGGCAAACAAGAATTCTGAATTTTTAACAACCTGTGTGATTTTTTCTTATACTTAAACTTCAGAGACATTACCATAATAAGCATAGTAGGCTTAATCACTGAATTACTTGTGTTTGTTAAGAACTTAAAAGCTGTAACACTTTCAAAAATCCTTATTTGCAAAATATAAATATAAAAAGACTCCCAAGAGGTTTTAAATTGTATTTAATTTTGCTTTTTTAATTTAATAGCAAAATAAGCTAATCTTCTGGTTAATTCTTGCCAACAGGGTGGAATAACTCCGGATCTGGATCAACCATGGAATAAGTTCCTGACCTGAGGAACCGGGACCAGCCTCGCTCAGCCACTTAGACACCACAGCAACCCATTACAAAATGAACTCTAACCCACTGGGCTCATCGATTGTCTAATTTTGTTTTTCTGGTTTTGAATGAGTTATTTTAGTTTTATACCTTGTATGACTATTTTAAACTAGAGCCCCAACAGAGATGGGGAACCTGCAGCCTTTTGATTTCAAGATTATCCTTCTATTTTAAGCACCAAAGGAGCATAAAAACTCTTTCTCAGCTGTACCCCTTTTAATAAAAGTATTTGTTATATAAAATTTGGATTCCATCAAAAGGCCACACTTCAGAGTCAGGAAGGCCACAATTTTCCTTAAGGCTGCAGGTTCTTGACTCATGTAAGAAAAACAGAAATCAACCCACTATTTCCATCTCCACATTATGATATGTAATGAAGGCAAAACATAACCTATTGATAATGAAATATGCTTTCCTTGGTGAATATTTAGTAGTTCTCAGGTGAGCTGAACCAGGCTATTACAGAACTCCAGCTGCCTGTGCACCCTGCGGAGAGGGTGGGCCTGCGTGATAGAGCTTTATAATTAAGATAAGTGATTTCAAATAATAATGTGCATACTATGAAATAAAAGCATTGACTAACAAGTGTTCTGACGATTCTCTGGAGCTAAAAGACTTTTTTATTAACTCTGGGAGAAAAAATATGAAAAGAAAACGGAAGCATCGAATTACAGTCCTGGTTTAAAGGGTGGAAAGTCTGTTTTGAAAGACTTTCGCCACATGAAAGATTTTGCAATTCTTCCCTTCAGGTCACTACACTGTTAAAGGAGCACTTGCAAAGAACTATGTTGGAATACTTCTAGACTAGTACCTAGGTGAGAAACAAAAGGATTATTTTTTTAAGGAAAGGAAAAGAAAAATATGCCCTTGCAGTGTAATTCTGTATTAGTAAAGCAATTATAAATTTTTGTTAAAAATATTTTATTTCACCGTCAATTTTCCTGCTGTTATTTTCTTTGAAAAACAACACAGTTAAGTTTTAATTTATATTGGCTGGGCGGGGTGGCTCACACAATGCCAAAGTTTGTGAGGTCTGATTTCTTCCAGTAATAAATCTTAATTTTTAACACCAAAGGGCACAGTGCCTCCCTTCTCATGGTCAGCAACTCAGCATCAGGGTATTTCTGGGGTCCCCTTGGCTCCAAGGGGCTCCATGCAGTCAGCTAAGGGGGACTTAAGATTTTACTTTAGTTCACCAGGTAAATAGGCCCTTATGGTTCTTAGAATTATGAAAGAGGATGTAGCAAGTGGACAGCCAAGTACAGTCTGATAAGAACAATTCTAGAATACATAGGGTGATATCGGAGCATAAAAAAAAAAAAAGAAAGAAAGAAAACTAGTCTAGATTAGAGTGACCAGACGTCCCACTTTTGGCGGGACAATCCCGCTTTTTAACAATTTGTCCCACGTCCGGTGGCATTTTAAAGAAGTCCAGATTTTTGGAAAGAATGCAGCAACAGTTGGGAGAACAGGAAGGGAATATACGGTTTTTGGCTGCCATGTGGCTATTTCACCAGAATATGAGTTTTATATTATTTTTGTTAATTTTATAATGTTAAACTGTAATAATAACAAATAATTGCTGAGAAGTGATTATCAAGAACTGCTTATCAAAGTTTGCATTGTTGTCAGGACCTGCCTGCCCCGCCCCCACCCCTCCCCGCCCAGCCCCTCGGCCATGTTGTCCCGCTTTACCAATGTTAGAATCTGGTCACCCTAGTCTAGATGTAAAAATATAGAAAAGGTTTCCCAGAAGATGTGACACTTGTGGTGAGACACAGATGGAAAATGAGTGTTAGTGGAAAAGGTTTTTAAAGAGAAAGAGTATTCCAGGCAGAGGAAACACAAATGACAAAGCTAGAAAATAAAAGAATATGGGCTGGAAATTAAGAAGGAAAACCAGTATATTTGGAGGGAAAGAGGTGAAGTCAGAGAGTTGGACACAGAGAGGAAACATCATGAGAAATCATGAAACTTGTGGTAAAGAGTTTTTAATTTACCCCAACAGTGCTCAGGAGCCACGGTTGTATTTTAGAAAGCTGACTGAGCTTGCAGTAAGTGAAATGCAGTGGAAAGGTACACCTGAGAAGAGATCTCTTAAGAAGACATGGCAGAATTTCAGTCCCCTCCCACCAAAAAATAATAATCAAAGGTGGCAGAAACTTTGGTGGCAATAATGACAAGTGGACATATTTTTAATCTGCTTAGGAAGCAGGATCACCACAAACTGTTGTTCAGTTAGAGGTGATGGGTGAGAAGCAGCAAATTAGTCAAGGAGGAGACTCAATTTCCAGGGCTAAGCAACAGAGAGATGCAAAAAAAAACAGTGGGCAAAAGTGTAGGGTAAACCCACAAGAGAGGGCGCTGTGGGTCTGTTGAAATCAGAGATGCTTCTGGAATAAGTAGAGGTATTTAGTGCACAGTGGGATTATATGGGTCTAGAGAAGTCAACGGGAGATGGGGGCCTGAGATGGATGCCTGGGAGTTACCAATATATAATAATTACGGGCTTGGAAGTGAAGGAGTTCTTCCAGGGAGAAGGCCCCAGCGAGAAAGAAAAGGTCCCAGAACGGACTTTGGAGATGCCAGCTAACTTCTTTTAAGTTTCAGATTACATAAATGCTTGATTATTGCAAGACTTAAGTGAGAGACTGTATCAAAAACCATTCACATAGCACCTAGCCCATAGTAAGAGTTCAGTAATGCTCGATATGGATTTACTGACTCAGTCTTGCTAAGTGAAGATCATTTATGTGATTTTCATTCCCATTTTCTACTCTTCCATGAATAATACTTATTTAATATATATAGAAAATAAATATTCAGTATAGTATTTAATGATAGACATTTTATTTATTTATCTTTTTAGGTAATCAGGTTTTGAACATCCCCAAACTGGAGCATCTTCAAAAACAAAACAAAACCCAGCTCTTTAAACACTCATTTAATATCTCAATCCAGGTGCATCCACAAATACACCAACCCATCTCTGGATTGAGCCTCTCCCACATAAATTTTAATCTAGTTTTTGTGAGCTTTTAAAATGATCATGCTTTCAAAACACTCGCTTTCCTTTTATGTATTACTTTAACATTTTCAACACTTTGAATATTGTAGTCTATCAAGATCAAAATGCTAAAACATGATGATCTTCAATAGTGATAACAGAATCCCTGGAACAAAACGAACACCTGCAAAGCATTATAGAATTTAGTACACAAAGGGCAGCACGTACTTTTCATGAACATGCAAATTTTAGAAGCAGGAATAGAAAATAGCAATCTTATTTCTAAAATGAAGTTATTAAGTCATAAATTCAAAAATATAATTAATATATCCACCTTTTGTTAAACTTAATAGATAAAACACTCTGTCAAATGTACATATCGCCTTGCATTAAATGGCGTTTAATGTCATTGTACATTAATTTCTTACTCTCTAAA